ATTTTGCAACTAACTAAAAAACTTCCAGTTTATAATTTCGTCACCTGTTAGGACTTTGAAAAATAATCTGCTGCTAAAAAAAATCAAATTCAATTTTTATTAGCTGAAGAGATCAGCCTTGATAAGCATGAATCTTTCAAAATATTACTAAAAATTATCCAAACTCAAGCGTGGAGTTGGAAGACATGCAGACCCCATAAAAAATATTCTGAATTCTGTATCCCCGTCACTGTCCGTCTTTGCAAGATGCACCTGAATAGCAAACTAGTCCTCTCAGATTTTTGGAAGAATTCAGCAGGAAAACTATAGAGTCCGAAAAAGAGTTAGACACATCAATGAAAGAAAAAGAGATTTGGTAAAGAGCGACTACGCCAATGGCCTATGAAAATCTCATGCGTTCTGCAGATGGTTTTAACCAGTTGCTTCTCAGCAAATCCCTTTCTTCAATCGACGTTTTAGTTTCTTTTCCTTCTACCTAGGTGCACCTTGAGCAACCGACTATTTAACATATTAAATCCTTACCAAAAAAAACTCAGAATTTTACAGAACTCAACTTGTAAGGCACAAAGAAAAGTAGCCTCTAAATATACACGTAAAACTAAATAGTTTATTTTCACTTTACTTTATACTTTTCAGAGGACAATCAGAATTATTTTCCACCGTGTCATCACCGTTTGTGTTGAAAAAGTCATGATTACCAGGAAATTCTCTAAAATATATGGAAGTGAGAAAGTAAAACACTTAAACCTGTCCTGCTTTTTCTCGAACAAATTGAAGTGCATATATCAGAAAAAGTTAATGATACATTAGTTTTAAAATACCTTTAACGAAATTCAGCATGAGCAAAATACTTAACCAAAGTAATCCAATCAAACAATAAATTCTAACCTCCTAGCAGAAAGAAATCCTCACAAAAAAAAACATTTTGAAGCAACCATGTTATCCAGAAAACAAAAAAGCAATATTAGTTAACTGAAAAGATGCTGACTTTTCAAGTACAGAGTATCACTAATTTTACAAAATAACAATCAAAACATTATAGCTTTCATAAAACGACGAGTTTAAATTCAAAAGCCCAAAAGAATATGCAGCACACCAAGTAAACTAAAGAAAATATGTGAATTAACAATCAAATGAAAAGACGTCTGCACACTAGAAAGTTGTGGACTGAATAAAGTTATACAGAAAAAGTTTTTGAAACACAGCATGCTTGCCTACCATTATACTTATTAACATCACTTATCTTTTTCCTTTTGCTCACTTTAATAGATCCTATACAGTTTAAACATATTCTTCAAAGACAATGATCAAACACACAAAACCTGTCCGAGAAAATGATTTAGCGAAACATAGTTGTGGAAGTCAAGTTCTATGAGTCATTCAACAAAAATCGCGAAAACCTGCAATTAGTACAGAAAATTAGAGTTCATATACAAAAAACTAAGACAGGCTAGTACATAATAAAAAAAAATCAATCTATAACAAAAGAAAACCAGAATTTAAAGTAAGACAGCAAAAAAGAAGCAGAAAACAGAATAATTAATGCGGTAGTAAACAAGGGTTTTGAGAGATCTAACTACACGCAAAGGACTCAGCGTAGTGAACAAATACAACATTCAGTGTGGAACAACAGAACTTGAATCTGCAGGTTCTCCTTCAAACAAGTTCAGCAGTCAATCAGCTAATCAACAATTGAATAAAAACAAAAATATACAGTAAGAAAGAAAAAAGAGATGTTGGAAAATAATTTTTACTTCCTTCTATCAAAGACAAATTGAAAAAATATTGATGGTTAACTTCATACTCATATCTGAAAGCGACATTCTATGAAAATCGATCTCTATACCAGGTTCATTTGAAAGTGCAAAATCACCATAACAATAACGGAAAAATTTCATGGCATTAGTTCATGTTTAACGAACAAAAAAAAAAAAAAAATCATAAACATGCTTAACGAAAGAGGACCAAAACCAAAAAATGTAAGCGTAAAACTAGATTATTTTTGTATCGATACAAAGAAAAAAAAAAAAAGAAGGGAAAAAAATTAGAAAAAAAGTAAACAAACTGTGATTCAAAGAGTGCAACAGACCCAGTTCGTATGGTCTACGGTAGAACTTTAGGAAAAACCTCGTCTCCTGAAACATCAATCTAATGTTCAAAGCAATTTTACAGTTCAGTCATTAATTAATATACTGCTGAATCATACTTCCGATAACAATAACGAGAAAAAAACAGAAAAGAAAAAAATACCACTTCATAGCACCCTAAAAGAAACCATTTCTTTCAACAACGGCAAAAACAACAACAACAACACGGAAAAAGGCAGATAACGCATCCTCTTAATTGTAATCTATGTCTCCCATTTTCATGCATCTATGACATAGAAAAAACTGCATTGACACTTTAAAAGAAAGCTTTTTTCTGGATTTAATGACACATCAAAGTCTCATCTGCTTACGGTAAAAATGGAAAAAAAAAAGACACAGACTACGACGTGCAGTCATGGTTTGTAGTTCTAATTAAAAAATCCTACTTTACAAGCCAGAAAAGATTTTCAACAACAATTTTCTCAATAAAAAATCAGCAAAAATTTCCCACAGACGAATACTTTTTTTCTTCTCTTTTTTTCAAGCAACTATTGTAGAAAATGAGATAAAAACAAGTCAACACGCAAATTGCGTTCTCAAACATGAAAACAATTTTTTTTTTCTCAAATGTCTTACAAATAACTCAATACAATGTACCAACATAAATAAAACAACCGCTCTAAGCCTTCATTATTCTCTTCTTCAATCAAAATTTACTCCTCATATTTGTCGCAATATTTCGTTTCACTTAATTACGAAAGAACTGCATACATATCTATGACATCTGTAGACCAATTATGTGCAACTATACAGCTTTATAATTTCACAAGATGTCAGTCTTGTTGTCAAAAACTCAAGGACAGGTTGAAACAGTTCTAGAATCTAAGCCTTAAAATCAAATCCCGACTACTGGAGAAGTTCTTCCAAACATTCTTGATTCGATTTTCATATCATGTCTACTACAAAAAATAAGCTGTTCCTGGTAAAGAACCAGGTATATTCTGTATAAAAGCAGAGAAGTTTCGTATATGCTAGAAAATTCAGTTGCCATTATGATGATCTCATAAGCCAAAAAGTGTAAAAAAATTTTTTTTCTCTGAAATTCTGAGCACATGTCTAAAGAAAAAAAACTATAAAGTTTCAAATCACTTTTCTCCTCAACCGTGATTGTAATTTTTCTCTTGCTATAGGACATTAAAATCGATTGCCACAATGGGGTTGAATCATCACCCCCATCCTGCAACAATGTTGAACCAGAGCAGTCACTGCCATTATACAAATAAGTCACGTTAGTTAGATTCTCATTTAAAAACATTCTTACATATCAATTAGAACAGTAATTCCTAATCATCAGTTTTTTGTTCTCCTCTGGTCGTGTCCTGAATAACCTATATGACATTTTACCAGCCAGAAAGGACAAATGTGGACAGACAAAGTATTACACGTTCAATCAAAGACCAGTCACATAATAACGAACTGCTATTAACATTTGACTGAGCGTGAAGTAAACAGTTAACATCTGGAACAAACACTTCCAAATGTTGCACCAAAAAATTATTGTAACCAGACAGCCACCAAGCCCTCGCCGCATCAAATAATCACTGACGGATAGCAGTCCTCAAAAATGCACCCTTGGGAAGAGTCCTTTTACTAGAGAATTTTTGAATTGTTTTGATGTGCATGATAAGATTAAAAATTGGAATGTCTTACAGTATATCGTTAGCGAGCGGTTTGCTCGTGGGTTTTGAGCAGTATTGAATAGGAGTTGTTCACCAGTATGTATGTATCTAAATTAAAATGGGTGTTGCATTACTGCTTGGATTCTTGCAGCCGTCGCAATCAAGTTTGTTTCTGAGCATTTCGATATGTGTTCTTCATCGTTATATCCCAGGCAGTCACTTCTGAACTCTGCATAAAATGTCTGAGATCAGACAGTTATATATGATTTGCGTATTAGGATTGATATTATTGTTGGTGCCAGCCAGTTCAGCATCTAAACGATTTTACCACCGGGGGTGTTATGCTATTGCAGTACTGATGTAAAAAACCTGTTATTATTTGTAAATGAAGATTTTGTCAGCTGTTTAACGTCTTAAAGGTTGGTACACTTGAGACTGAGTAGTATTCTAGTTTACGATGTACTCTGTTTCCCGCTGGTGCAGTGATCAGGTACGATGTTGCATTTTCGTAAAGTCGTTGATCAGATTGGCGAGATAACGGTCTATGTAAACAACGTACTGAAAATTTCATACTTATTCTATTCTTGATTAACACGTTTAATGACTGTGAACGAGGCATACTTTTTTTTTTTTATTTTTGACGCATTTCTTGAGTTTGTTTCCTCATTTTAGAGAAGTGAAAAGATGTTGCTTTGATAACGTTTAGTCAGCTGCATTCTTGGTAGGGCTTTTAAGTGACCAAGCTTATCACATCTGTTGAATCCCTGTTGTTGTAATACTAAGTTTTTGAGCGATCAATATAGTTATTGTCACTTGACTTGTTTTCGCATGCATCGTTTACTTCCTTGCATTGCCACAGCGTTCGCACGTCTGAAATTCTCTTTTTTCATCTGGCAACCGAAAAGATGATATTTCTGGCAAATTTTGTTAGGATTTTTTGAGTTTTTATGTGGTTTCAGTTGCAATAGATCAGTTACTAAGTAAACGCTGGATAGTTAAGGTTGATTGGTATATCTCCATTGGAGATTTGTTTCTTTCTAGTGATCCACCTTCCCTATATCGATTGCGTAGACACTGTGGTACTAGCTACCCCGTATTTCGTGATCATATCGTTCTTCGTATACTTAAAGCTCCGTTTGTCCATCGATAATTTCGAAACATTACGGTTTTTCGCCGAAGAATTAAGATTTTCGTTTAGGCCAGGTAATAAAAAGCATTGGGAGCGAATGAAGTGATGTCAGCTTCAAATGGCGTTGAAGAACGCTCACCGAAATTATTCCCTTTACAAGTCACTAGTAAGTTTTCGAGCAGAATTTAGTTCTTCTGTTCACTCGTTTATAAATTAGTTACAATAATTTTGTCTTTCATTTAGTGCCCTTGCAGTCTCTCCTGCTTTAATTTAACCCTAGAAGTACATACACGAGTGTCATAATTAATTCGTTTATCGACTGAGTGAATCGACTCCTCCATCATTGTGTTATACTCAGTTTGAAATTCTGGGGCTGTTGTCATTCCTTAAGTAATATTTTAGTTGCGTCAGCTCGGCTACCAAGCACTGGCGGATTATTCAGTAAACCTCCTGATGTTTACGTTGAACTTATAGTTGATTCCCAGCCGCCGAAAAAGACGGCTGTAAAGAAAAAAACAAGTAACCCACAATGGGATGAGAAGATTCAGGTACTTTTGTTTGTAACTCATATTTCTTATGCATTTTCACACCACTTTTCGTTTTATTTCTGGTAGTGGTTTTTTCTTATAATCCTGTAGGAAGGAAGCGTTGTGCAAGTAAGATTTTGCGGCTTCTATAATGTTCACATTCGTTTTTTTTTTTTTTTTTTTTTTTTTTTTTTTTTT